AAAGGAATGCCTAAGTGGCGGCCAGCTGGTCGTGCCTCTTCTTAGCCGGCTGTAAGCCTCGGCCTTGTTTCGGCCCACTCGGTAAGACTCACGCTGAGTCTGATGAAATTACCTGGATACCAGCCAGTTCCTACAGGTAAACTGGGGAAGTAAATTCTCTCTCCCCTCATGCACAGGGCCAGAGGCAGAGCTCACACTCATCGCCAGGTCCTGCCTTCTAGTTCCCTGAGCCAATTCATCTGGGCTGGAGGGCAAGGAGGTGAATAGGTGTTAATATAAGACACAACTTTAGAGATGAGGAAGCCGAGGCTCAGAGAACTGACTTGCCCGGATTTTTTTTTTAAAATAATACAATGATTTATTTTTCTTGCCCAGATTTTTATTTGTAGTGGGATCCCCGGCAAGATTTGAACTCAGGGCCTCACTGGTACTGCAGGGATTAATGTCTCAGTGCAGTCAAGCTACCTTATGGTCACAGGAATTTGACCCTGGCCAGGGAGCTACCCACCTGGGGCAGCAGACCTCTCCTGTCTCATCTGCTGCTCCCCTCAGCAGTGCATTTCAGTACATCTGCCTGTTCAGGCCCCCCACTCTTTCCTCTCACTCCTGAACCTCTGGCCTACACCAGTAAAGAAAATGTTTTTTTTTTTTTTTCTCTTCTTTTTTTAAGATTGACATATATGGGCCCTCCCTGGTGGCGCAGTAGGTTAAAGCACAGCACTAAGAAGTTAGGGCCACTTCAGCATGAGTTCGATCCCCACACCGGAGGTGACCCACATGGCATGGCAGACCTCTCCTGGCCTGCTCGCTGCTCTCCTCAGCAGTGTACTTCACGGATCTGCCTGTTCTGCTCTCTACTTTGTCTCTGGTGAATCCTGTCACCGCCCCTGCACCTCTGGCCTGTACCCCAGTTCTGTATGCATAAGTGACTAAATCTTCAAAAAAAAAAATTGACTTATATATGCATACAAGAACTGGGGTACAGGTCAGGGGTACAGGAGGGGGGGTGAGAGGATTCACCAGAGACAGAGTGGGGAGCAGAACAGGCAGATTGACGAAGTACACTGCTGAGGCAAGCAGCGGGCGGGTCAGGAGAGGTCTGCTGCGCCATGTGGGTCAGCTCCCTGGCAAGGGAATTGAACTCTGAAGTTTTGACCCTTTATAACTATGACCTGTTGCTTTCTCTATTGAGTGTCCCTGTGCTGTGGGGTGAGCCCTGTAGCTGCTCTGAGACTCATGTTTCTGCCCTGTACGAGCTGAGCCAGGCACTGCGGGCTTGGGTGAGGAGTGCCTGAAATGATGGACAGGCGCAGGATTTCTTAGCTACTGAAATGTAAATACAGATGACTTTTTCTTCAGCTATGCATTTTCCTGTGTGCTTGCAGATGGGGAGACATGCTAGTCCACTATAAAGACATCATTGTTGAAAGTGAAATTAGAAAAGGAAACGTCAGAGAGAAGATGGGGAGGGGGAGACTTAACAGCTTCTTGAAGGGGACTGAAATCACCCAAAGGGTCGAGAGAAAATGATGAACTTTCTAATTTAAATCATCACAACAAATTTCTTTCAGGGCCAGGCCACGCTATCTTATTCTAGACTCTGCGTCCCTGGAGTAAATCGGAAGCTCTCACGCCATACTGAGAGCTGCCTGCCTGGATTAGAGGCCACTCTGCCTCAGACGCTCAGATCAGCTTTCCAGAGAACAGTCACTGCTGACCTCGACTTACTCCAGTCCAGCAGGACGCCCAACACCAGAGCTCAGCTTGTGTCTGGTCAGAAAGCTCTGCCCTGAGGGCTGTCGGGTCTGCAGGGGGCTTTTACTTCTCTCTGGCTGTTCTTCCCCCCTCAGGCCACTCCTAACAGCCCCCCCCACCCCTCCCAAGGAAAAAAGGGAAAAAACCAGCCACACCTTGTGCTCCCACTGATTGCCAAGGCACATTCTCAGGGATCTTTCTCCAGGGCCCAGGAGGGGTGAGGCGGAAAGTGAAGACGCCATCAATCACCCCAAAGCACCTGATGGCGTATTTCCCTGTAGAGCAATCACACCTGTCTAGCCGCCAGGCACTGAGGGTTAGTCACGGGCAGGAGTGTGGGCTTCTCGAAACCATAGTGTAGTCCAGACAGCTTCACTGGCACCCAAGAGGCAAGAAGAGGGGAGAGAGAAGTCTGAGCTGTGCTGCAGAGAGCACCAGCAGGTTCGGGCGTTCTGTAAAAGGCTCTGTGCCGATCGGCCCGCCCGCAGCTCGGCAGAGGTCCGAGGGGCCAGGGCAGTAGAGCGCTTTTCACGCAGCCACAGGCTGTGAAGCTGACCACAGGGTAAACGGGGCATCGGATGCAAGTGCAGCCATGAGAAACGCCAGAGAAAGGTGGAGGGAAAGGAGGCAAGAAGAATCCTACCAGATGCTAAGACTGAAGAGCAGGATGTTATACGGTTTTTGCCTTTGTACAGGACAGCAGCTATTTCCACAGTCTTATTGCCACGGAGAATGAGCATTCAGAGAAAAAAAATAAATTACTGGTAAGAAGAAAAAAGGTTCATCTTAGGGTTAGTGTGAGACAGCACAATTCAGAAATAGCTTTTCCATCTGCTGACCTGTTGATCTGGGATATTTCCTTGGAAACAGCCACAGTGGCTGAAACTGTTCATTCAAAATCGCCTTGGGCCCTCCCTGGTGGCGCAGTGGGTTAAAGCCCAGCACTAAGACACTAAGAAGCTAAAGCCACTTCAGCATGGTTCAATCCTTGTCCCGGAGGTGAGCCACATGGCACAGACCTCTCCTGGCCTGCCCGCTGCTCCCCTCAGCAATGTGCCTCGTCAGTCTGCCTGTTCTGCTCCCCACTCTGTCTCTGGGGAATCTTCTCACCTCCCCTGCACCTCTGGCTTGTACCCCAGTTCTGTATGCATAAATAAATAAATCTTAAAAAAAAAAAATGCCTTTGCTATTCGGAGTCGGAGTTCGGGGGGGCGAGAGTGGGGGAGCAGCAGGAGCTGCCGGACAGGGACTGTGCCTGGGCACCCTGCACGGCCCAGGGCAGGAAGGGACAGGGTGACCCTGGCCAGCTGCCTCGACAACCTGCTCACAGCAGGCTCACACCTGTCTCCTGCTCAACATCTGCAGGGGCAGAGAATTCAGAGCTCCAGTTAGAACATTTTTCTCTGTTGGTGAGTCCAAGTCTCCTTTCTCCACTGACAATCTCTCAGTAACCCAGAACATTCTACTTCCTCATCCGTAATAGGGGTTTCCAGCACGATGAACCCCTGTTTTGAGTCATTGCTGACGTCCCTTCCCGAACAGCCACCGCGTCTCCCCCTCTGGCCTGGGTTCTGTGTCTGTGCTGTGCTTCCCCATCAGCGGGGTCCCTCGGTCACCACCCCTTTCTGTGGCCCCCCCCACCTCCACTGGGAACTCAGCACTGGGCTGAAGAGCGGAGCCCGCGGGGACGCCGTCATCCCAAGCGTGCAGTCTTTCTGGCCGTGGGCCACTGGGCAGGCTCATCTCTCAGTGCTTTGGTTTTCTCATCTGTCAAATGGGGCGGGGCAATGTCCAGAGTACCCAGCCACCGGGGCATGAGGACAAATCACCCACATGCCTGGTACACAAAAAGCCATCCCTCCACGCAGCCTTGGCCACCAGGTCCATGCCACACTCTTGTTGATGCAACCCTGCGCTTCTGACGCCACGAAGCCTCCCCACGATGCCACCATCTCTGCCTCCAACAGGAGAGGGCAGCACATCACAGAACACCGGGGAGCGTGGGGGCTGGCGAAGCGGCCCTGGGTCTGAGCCTGAGTGTCGGCTGAGCATCCCTGGAGTCCCAGCTCCAGGGAGGGGAAACCCAGCGCCAGAGCGTGAACCCCCAAATCCAGGGCCTCTCCTGGTGGGGAGACATTGAGGGGGTGCCAGCATGCACTGAGGTGAAAGGGCCTGGGGGCTCAGACTACAAGCTCATCCTCAGATAGGTTTAGAATAGACCAGAAAAAACTGGCAGCCCCACTTCTGATAGACTCAGAGAACTGAAGCCTGCACACACGTCCGTGCAGTGTTATTTCTAACAGCCAGAGACGCAAGCGGCCCAGTGGCCAAGGAGATGAACACACCACAGAGTAAATACGTACAATGGAATATTCTTCAGCCTCCGAGAAGGAACCGGCGCGGGCAGGGACGTGGGAGGATGCTGTACTAAGTGACGCTGTGGGGTGGGCACTTGTCTCCCCCAGCTCCTAAGTTGAGGCCTCACCCCCAATGTGGTGGCATTGGGAGTGGGGGGCCCTCTGGGGTAATCAGGTCAGGGACCGAGCCTTGGTGAAAGGGACGCCGGAGACGCTGGGTGTGGAGGGGAGATGCCGGGGAGACCCCGGCAGCCAGTGCCTCCACTCGGTGTCTCTCCTCCAAAACAGAAGTTCCTGTGGCCGAGTGCCCGTCTGGGGTCCTCTGTCAGGGTGGCAGGAAAGGACGAGGCAGGGACAGCCCCCAGGACACTCTAGGTGCACTGAACAGGCCGGTCACGCACGGACGATGATAGCGAGGCCAGTGCTTGACGGTGGAGCCTGGGCAATGGGCAGCAGGTGGACAACAATGTGGGCGTCCTGACGCCGTGGACCGTGCACCGAAAAACAGCACAGGTGTCCACGTGTGAGGCTGTGTGTCCTTCACAAAAAACCTGACCGCTACGAGGAAAAAGAACTATAGTGGCAGTGGACAAGGGAATGCTGCCTGCTGGCTCCACGCGCCTGTGAAGTTGCTGGGAACCTCGCTCCTGCACAAACGCAGCGAGAGCGAGCTGGGAGACCTGTTCTCCAGGCCCCTCTGCCCAGGCCCGTCCTCTGGAAGCAGAGGCAGCCGTGCAGCGCGGCCGGGTCTGTCCTTGGCCACCCACCTCCAGGCTTCGCACCTGCAGGAGGCCGGCCCGGGGCACCTGGTGGCTGCTCGGATCTGCACGGACCGGCAGCGGAAGAGAGGGTGGGACCGTGGGCCACGGTGCAGTGGCCAGCGCTTACCTCCACGTCGTACAGGAACTGGAAACGATTGCCTTTGTTCGCGGCTTCTCTCACGGCCCACGCCAGGTCCACTGACCCCTTCCCGCCCTTGGACCAGTGGTAACAGGGGACGGCGTCGAAGGCGCCTGCCCGCTTGGCCAGCTCACACACCAAGTCGATCTCGGCCCGGGTGTCCGTCCTGGGGATGAAAATGTTTGTGGTTTTGCATCTGTGTTCGTTTAGCTGTGTTTTAAGAGAAACACTAACCGTTTATACAGAACTTTGCTCCCTAACACTGAATAGATTTTCAACATCAAAAGTGGTTACATGGTGTTTAAATAAATCAAACCTAAAGACAAGCATGGGAAAAAGAAATCCTCCCCGACCCGGCTCCAGTAGTTGAAGTTGTGAAGGGTTTTATCGGGAAAATTCCATACCATATCCCTTTGATCAGGCATACTCTTTCAGACAGAAATGCTGGGAGAATTAAGAAGAAAAAAATCCAAAGAGGCAGCAACTAACTCCATAGATGCCGTTTCCCTAATAACGTCTGAGTGGCTTCTGCTAGAACGAAACCAGCCCAGCCCCACCCGGCGCACAGAAAGGAGGGAGCACTCTGTGGACGCCTGATGAAGCAGAAACCCCAGTTCCATGGTGGCCCAGAGCCCAGACCGCGTTGGAGCCAGGAGGTCTGACTTACTTGAAGACGTTTATGGCCACTACCACGGGAACCCCAAAGAGCTGGGCGATCTGGATTTGCTTCTGGAGGTTACAGCAGCCGTCTGCCACCAGTGGGATGTTCTGTAAGAAAACCAACGCCTTGGGCATCACCCCCACCACCCCGGAGGGTCCTGTTCCATCTCTGCTCACTTTGGTGTCCTCGCAGCTGAACAAAACCATAAATCTTTTTTTGTTGTTGTTGTCTGTCTTGGGGGGGCCCAAGAAAAGATGGCTGCTGAAGGAGGAAGCTTTTGTTCAAAACAATTTCTAAAATGATGGTGGGTTCAGGTTCAAAGGCATGATGTTTGGGTCTGGAGCCAGGTGGCCGTTGCTGCTGCTGACAGTGGGCAGGACACCAGCTGCGTGGGCTGGTGACCGGCAGGTACAAGGCCCAGGAGGCCTCCTGGCTCAACCCCCTGGCGCCACCTGTAGGAGCCACGGGGTACTGCTGCCAGAACATCAAAGGCCCTTGAGGAGAGTCACAAAGCCAATTGTAAATCCTCTAAAAGTCATGCCTCCCCTTTCAGAAAACGTCTCTGTGCTGGAGACCCTCAGCTCCTGCTCGGATGACGGCCGGCGGGGGCAGGGACGGGTAGATAAAGCCTACATGAATCATTTCTTAAAATTGACGGTTAAGTGATGGTTTTTCTTCCTGACTCCACCCCTCTCCTTTTGGATTATTAAAAAAGCAGTTTTTGAAGAGGAGATTGATGGAGGCTTCATCTACTGAGTTTAAACAGCCAGGCAATGGCTAACTACATTGGAATGATTCTTCAAAACAGCTCTTACCTCCTCGGTATATTCTTTCTTAAGAGGGACGCCAGCAGTTACCTAAGATAAGAAAACACAAAAAGTAAGAAAAATCCCATTAAAATGCTTACTCTAATTGATACAGATCTGAAAGCAAAACAAATCATAGTCACTTTTGGGGAATGTACATTGAACAGCACATTTTGTGCTTTTAAACCAACAACATTTTGTGCTTTTAAACCCAAAACCCTGGCTGAACGCTAAGTCTTGGGGAAGTTTTTAAAGAACGCTGATGCAGAGGCTGCACCCCGATCAGGATTTCTGAGAGGGGGATCCAACATCAGTTTAGAAACTCCCCAGACCCCCAACTCCAGCCAGGGTCGCTGCCTATTACACAAACAGAGAATGAGGATTAGTGCGTGATCCAGAGTGCACTGTTGTTTCTGTGGAAGTTCTAAATCAATTCAGAAATCACAGTGATAACAGGGCCTCGAATACCGTTTTGTTCTAATGTCCCTGAGAAAAATAATCCCCGATGACGCTGTCAAAGTGACATTATTCAGGGACCTGCTTTCATTATCCTTTCACGATTCATGCAAAGCAGATGTTTCCAAGAACCTCTCAACTGTAAGCGGGGACTTAACTGTACTTTCTGGGCCTCGCTTCTCACAACAAACTATGGGTTGGCAGTGGTTTAAAGATGAGGAAACTGAAGCTGGGAGGAGCAGATGTCTTGCCCAAGGTTACACAGCAATGAAGGAGAATGGGCCTGCGAGCTAGTGAGAGGTTGGAACCCAGCTCACGCCCTCCCCAGCGCCCTGGCTTTGTCTATGTGGGATTCAGTGAGAAACGACAGAGCACGGGATTCACCTTCCTCAGTGAAGAGGCCCCTTAGCCATCCACTGAGAAGTTCCACAGTTGCTTTGTCATCGTTCGGGAACTTCAGAAAACATTTTCTGGTGAGTTACCCAGCAGCACTGCAAACACGCTTGGGCCAATGGCTTGATCTGTATGTTAGACTAAAACACACCACACAAACGCGTGAAGCATCATGCGTTTACACCTGTGGGATTTGCGGAACCCCAAATTAGGCAAAAGCAGTTAGAATGAGCTGTAAGCCAATGCCAAAAAGTTGAGAGAATCAACAAACCCCAAAGTCGGTTCTTCAAAAGACTGAGAAGTGGTAACACCAAACATTAGGGAAAAAGAAAGGAAAACAGAAAATTATGCTGTCGAATGAACAGGATACTCTGACTAGCTTACTCATTTATTTAAAAACAGAAATTCATGGTGGTCCAAGCCTAAACAGTTCTATCTACTTAAAAAAATTAACTTTGCAGTTAAAATCTGCCCCTCGTCAATAAGCAACAGGCCACGTGTGAACTTTTCCTAGCTTGGCATAAACCGGTTATTCTAACATTAAGGAATCTTTGACAGAGCATATAAAAAAAGAAGGGATCCTTCCTATTTTATTTCCTGTGGCAAAGAACTCATCATAAATAAGATGGAAAGATCCTACTTAAAACAGTAGGAAACCTGTAGGCAAAAATCAGTTATTCAGAAAAAATGACATTTCCTCATGTTGGAGTTAGTTTAAGAAAATGTCAGGTATGGGGTCTGCCTGGTGGTGCAGGGGTTAAAGACTCAGGCCACTGCAGCCACTGTGGCCCAGGGAGGTGACCCACATGGCGCGGCAGACCGCTCCTATCTCACCCGTTGCTCCCCTCAACAGTGTATTTCAGTAGATCTGTATGTTCTGCTCCCCACTCTGTCTCTGGTGAATCTTCTCACCCACCCTCTGCACCTCTGGCCTACACCTCAGTTCTTCTATGCATCAATAAAAAAAAAATTAAAGACAAAAGAATTTGTGAGATATATTTCATATTTTATGTTACATAATTTGCAACATTAATAAATTACAGAGAAATATGATCATCACCTCAATAAAACTTTCACCGTCAATTTAGAATAAGAATATTAGTATAAAAACAAAAATTTAGGAACAGAAGGCTATTCCTTTAATTTGATTAAAAAAAAAAAAACCCTGAAAACCAACGGAAAACATTATATTTAGCGATGGATATGGATATAGATTAGGGTGCCTGGCGCTACTGCCCCTATTTAATACAACACTATAACTAGAAAGACTTGGTTAGTCATAAGGAAAAAAAAAATAAGATTGGAAAGGAAGAAACAAAACCATCATCATTGTCAGAGACGATCGCCCACGCACAACTGCCCAAAACATCATTCTCTAAAGTGGTAAACTAACAGAGGAATTTAGAGGTCATTAGCTATAAAAGCAACCTGGGAGAAATAACCCACCAATTATTTAAAAATATCAAGTTAGGAAAAAGAAAATTAAAGCAAGGAAGCTCTTTATGGCATCAACTGTAAATTTTATTGAAATATACTTTAAAGACCTAAAGGAATGACGAGATATTCCACGTTCTTAAGATAAACTGTCAAAGCTCTCCGAATGGATCAACTTAATGCCACTGGATGAAAATGCTTACAAGATCATTTACGGAATGGTATGAGTAAACCCTAAAATACACATGGAAGAGAAAATGCCACCAGGCACGCGGGAATACAGCAAAATACAGCCGCTCGCTCCGGGGGTGCAGATACAACTATGAGCAAATGAACCGGCACATGAACACATCTACTCGTGTGTGGACAACTGATACATTGTGAAGGGGCTTGATGAAAACGAAGGAGAGATGAGCTAAACTAACAGAGCCAGGCCAAGTGGCTGTTAACATAGAAAAAATGAAATTAGACTCAGTGACCGCACCACACCCCAGAAATCAGTAATAATGGGTGTGATGATTACTTTTATGTGTCAGCTTGGGTCACAGGGTGGACATGGCCAGCCATCGCCCTGTGTTTCTGTGAAATTGTTTTCGAATGAGAATACTATTATAAATTGGTGTGCTCTGAATGAAAGGCTTGCTTTCCAGAGTGTGGGTGGGCCTCATCCAATCAGTTGAAGGCATGGGGGAAAACAGAGATTCCTATGAACAAGAGCGAGTTCTCCAGCAGAAGCCTTAAGTCTGGGAACCAAAACATATGCTCTCCTGCTGACCCAGTAGATTCTGGAGCTGTCAGCCCCCACAACTGTGCGAGCCAATTCCTTATAATAAATCTCTTCTTATATAAATACACATTTTATAGGTTATGTTTTTTTGGAGGACCTCCTTTATACGAAGGGATTAAAGAATTAGTTGTGAAAGCAATATCTGGATCCCAGCGTATAACAGAGCAGAAGTTCTTGTCTTGCACAAGGAACAGTCAGCATCGTGGAAGACAGGATATGAATTGAAAATGGCTGGGACTAAAATGGGCAAGTTCAAGGGTCACAGGATTTTCCACTGCACAAATTATGGAAGAAAACAAGCTGAATAAACATAGAGGCAGTCATGGCTATTTGTGTAACGATATCAAAAGGAAGTAGAAATTATAATGCCTAAAAAATATGACAGAGTTGTTATAAGTAAGAACGAGCCATCCTGGGACATAATACAGGATATAGGATTAAGACGAAAGTTCATTTATTATCCAAGTATTGAAAATATTTCCTGGATACAGATCACAGCAGGCATTGGGATATATAAAGTAACAAGATGTAGTCCCTAAACCCAGAAACAGACACTCATAAAGTAATACAACAGAAGGCTCTCGTCACGCCTAGGACAGGGATGCTAAGCTCCATCAGGCTTCCTGATTCTGCACCCACACCTGTGGCTACTCAGTTTCATCCCATAACAATCTTCACAGCAATGCAAGTGTGACTTTCAGTGGCAATGGGAGTGTGCAACAGATTAAGGAGAGAAAACACAGCACTATGAATCAAAACAGGACTGAAAGTCATGTGAAGACGTTTTACAGGACAGAGACCAAAGTGTAGAACACACTAGACCAGAACTTAAAGCTTGATTTTAGGTGCAATTAATCCATACATAAACATGGGACACTCAGTAAGTCACTGAATTCTTCTGCACCATAGTATATTCTGTCTTTATAAAGAATGACCCACATCTAAGCTTTTTCAGTATGAAATTCTTTGAGTTTATAATTCCCGGGATAAAAAACAGGGAGGGAGAATTTCAGTGCAATATAAACACATGAAGGTATATTAGTTTTTTCTTTTTTTTTGAAATGGGAGCTGGTTTACAAACACAAATAATGAGTACGAACAAGTGTTTTGAACAAAATCAGAATTCTTCAGGGTTCACTTCCTTAAAAACCGTTACATCAGTTTGCAATAATGACGAGGCTTTAGACGAAAATGTAGTGTTAAAATGTTCCATATTGTGAAAGGATGTGGAGCTAAGTCCCAGGCTTTGGAGGTGATTCTGCCCAAGTCCCTATCCCCATGAAACTCCACTTCTGCCTCTGTAAGATGGTGCCCACTTCCCTGCCTCTCCTCAGACAAAGAGCGTTTAACACGGTACAATATGATAGCGGTGATGGCAAACCTGTTTGTTTTTGCTAAGTAATACGAAAAGCTGACGTGAAGGGAGCCACTTTGAAATGTGGTCAGAGCAATTAGCCATCACAGAAAAACCCCTCTGCTGTTTTGTTTAAACTGTGCCAAGCAGCGATTGTTCCGAGAACAGTCCTTTGTGAAATCCATGGGAGAAAGGACGCGTCCCGATCTCTCATGATTATGGATATTTTGTCCGAGGACAAGACAGTAAAAAATAGCCCTTAGAAGTAAACGTGGTAATGGAGTTATAAAGAGAAATCACAGTGAAGAAAAAAGAAAGAAAAAAGTTCTACGTGAAATTTGAGGAGAGGCAAGAAAAAAAAAAGACTTCTAGTTTGCAAACGCTGGAAAATCTCAGGCACTGAGCACTCCCTCTGGTCCTCCTCCCTGTTCAGGAAGCGAGCTACACTCTCCCAACAGGTTATACGACGTTGACCGGAGTTTCAGCAGTGAGTGGACAGAGTGGGGACCTCCCGGGCCTGTCCAGAATGAGGCACAGGCATAGCTATGGGTGTTCCTATTTACGTGGACTTACCTGCCAGCTCTAAGTGGCCCAGAACGGTCACTTATAAACAGGGAGCCCCTTTAGAAAACTGTTGAGTTGGGACTTACATTTGGTCCACCTCCGTGCATCTTAAGGGCTCGGACCGTGGCCACCAGCACCACGACGTTGGGCACCAGCCCAGAAGTCCGGCACTTGATGTTGAAGAACTTCTCCATTCCAATGTCGGCACCAAAACCGGCTTCAGTGACTGTGGAGAATCAAACAGGAAAGCTGCCGTTACCCTCTAAACACACCAGCAGGCTCTGGCACTCGGTGTGGCTCCGATGGAAAGCTCAACTCAGATCTCCCACATCTCAGGCCATTACACACCAGCACACCCACACCCTGTTCAGAAGCTACTTTACCACGGGCAGAGAGAAGGCCGAGCCTCCTTCCGAACCCTAAAAAGATGAGTCAACTCTGCTTCACACCAGGAGGCTGTAAATTACGATTCACTGACAAGACCAAGATTTTCTTCCAGTGCAGTAACTTGCAGCAATGCCTTTCTTAACACAGAAGGAGTTTTCAACTTTTTAAAAAGTTTTCAAGCCGTGGGCCCTCCCTGGTGGCACAACAGGTTAAAGCGCAGCACTATGAAGTGATCACGGCCACTGTAGCTCAAGTTCAATTCCCAGCCTGGGGTTGGAAGCTGACCACATGGCCTGGCAGACTTCTCCTGTCTCCCTGCTGCTCCCCTGAGCAATGTATTTCAGTAGACCTGCTTCCCATTCTGTGTCTGGTGAATCTTCTCCCTCCTGCATCTCTGGCCTGTACCCCAGTTGTATATACAAATAAATAAATACATACATACATCTTTGGGAGAAAAAAGTTTTCAAGTTGTATAAAAGGACCTTGCTGGCATGAATACTATATCCTTTCTCTAAGACACACTTAGCACCATGCATTTCTGTTGTTTGACCAAATTCAGGCTCATTCAGGGCTTAAGGGGGTGGGCCACCTTAAGCTGCTATTTCCTATAGCACCTTTACCCAGCCACAAGGACTCCCGCCCCCCAATTAGCAGCAACGTGATGGCCAGTGTGCAGATAGCAGAGAACACCCAACACTGCCCTCTAGGAGGATGTTACTGGGCCAGGCAGCACCCCAAAGCACCGAGGGTACTGCAAGGCCAGCAGCACCTGGGAGCGCATGAGAAACGAAGGATTCCAGGCCTCTTCCAGCTCTACAGAGCCAGGTCGGCATTTTCGTAACATTCCCCGTGAGGCGACTATACGTGAATATAGAAATAGCACCTTAGGGTGGCCCACCCGCTTAAGCCCTGAATGAGCCTGAATTTGGTCAAGCAACAGAAATGCGTGGTGCTAACTGTGTCTTAGAGAAAGGATATAGTATTCATGCCAGCAAGGTCCTTTTATACAACTTGAAAACTTTTTTCTCCCAAAGAAGTATGTATGTATTTATTTATTTGTATATACAACAACTGGGCACAGGCCAGAGATGCAGGAGGGAGAAGATTCACCAGAAGCGCATGCAGTGACAGGTCTATGAAAGCCACTCACAAGAGCCACACCTGCGCCGACACGCAGAGACCAGACCTGCGGCAGAGGTCGGACGCAAAAACACCAACAAAGACCAACGCTGGCCGGTGTGTGTCTGTGGCTGCCTTTTCCAGCATCTTATGCCGATGCAATTTTACTAGTAGAGGCAGAATTTTATCCTCCGCTTCTCTGCTATGGAATGACCACAGTTCTCTTGCTGTGCTACACAGTTTTAAGATTTATGATTATATGTGGCAGCTTACAATTTTGTAAAGTTGATAGACCAAGATTTACAAAATCTTCCCCCTTCTGTGATGAGACATTTGGGCTATTTCCAGTATAAATAATGCTGCAAAATAGCTGAACATGTGAACTATAACCTCTTTCAAATTATATTCTTGGAATAAATTCCCAGGGGTGGGGGTACGGGCCAGAAGACATAAAAATGTTTGACTGTTGTATGCTTTTGATGAATTAAAAAATATTCTTTCCAAAGTACTCATTTTGGGAGGACGTTAGCGACAGGTCATTTTATCCCTCATTGCATTTTCTTTGAACAAGTGACATAGAGGATGTAGAGAAGTAAAGGATGTTCCTCCTCTCTACCATACTGGGACAGTTTTAGGGATTTTATTCACAGTGGTCAAAACCAGTGGATCGCTGCCTCTGGGTGACACTGATGCTGACTGTAAGCAAGGATGGCTTGGTGCACCCCAGAAGAGGAACATGTAGATGAGAGTCAAAGGCCAGTCTAGAGTTAAATTCTTCTTTTTCAAAAAGATTGATTTATTTCTGCATGTAAGATCTGGGGTGTAGGCCAAACGTGTGGGGGTTGAAAGGATCCACCAGAGACAGAGTGGGGAGTAGAACAGGCAGATCGACTGAAATCCACTGCTGAGGGGAGCAGCAGGGGAACAGGAGAGGTCTGCTGCGCCGTGTGGGTCAGCTCCCGGGCCAGGGATTGAACTCATGCTGCAGTGGCTGCTGTGGACAGCTTCACAGTGCTGTGTTTAACCCTCTGCACCACCATGGAAGCCCTAGAGGGTGACTCTTATTTGATGCTGGATTTTATGTAGAATTATTGTTCTTGCGTCTTGAAGCCAGCACATTCCCTCTGACGGCGCTTCCCTGAGAAGCTCGCGATGGAGACTTCTACGGCAGCAATATTTAATAAGGCTTGCAAGGAAAGGTGGGCCCTGCCGTCCCGATCTGTCCTGGCAGCCTTTGATTTTCGTTAAAGCTAGTCAACTTAAACAGGAGTGAAAACAGGAAACGGTGAGTGCGGCTTTGCAAGTGTGAGCAGAGGGACAGCCAGACAGTGATGCCGCTAGTGTGGGTGAGTCAAACTTCACAGCACAGTCTGCCCCCCAAGGAAGGTCAGTGGGGCATGGCTGGGCGGGGCTGACTCTTTGCACAAATCCTGCTAGTGACCAGCACAGGAAGCAGAAGGCTGGCTTCTGCTGGGAGGGTCAGAAGGAGCGGGGCAGCCTGGCGGCCGGCTCTGCCCGCTGACTCGCCAGGTGTCCAGACTGCAGCCACGAAACGCTGTGGCAGGCACACAGGAGGTCTCTGGCATTCTCAGGCAGCAAAGAGATGGTTTCTACACTTGAATTATTCTACCCTGCCCCCAGCTCAGTGCACACGTACAAGCTGCAGTGGCCTTAGGACTTCTAAACAAAACGTGAATCATCCATGTTCACAAGCAAACTGGACACAAACCTCTCCGCTCCACAGCAGCACTATAAGATAAAGGCAGTAAGACCCGACAGCCACGGAGGCCCTTTGGGCTAGCTCCAGGTAACTCCTCTGGGCCCCACGTGCCAAGCGGGTGACCTGGAGGCAAAAGCACCCCGGTGTCACGGCCCGGCGAGGCCCACCCACAGGCCCCTCCTGTACAACACATTCTCCTTATTTTATTAATTTATTTTTAACTGAGGTAACACTGGGGAGCCCCGTGAGGTCTCACACCTGGTACATCCACCAGGGACTCACCTGCTCTGTGGAACACTCTCTGCACTGACCTCCTAGCGGGGAGGTCATCTGATTAAACACACAGCCCAGAACTGAGCGGCCACCTTCTCACCACCAGCACCTGAGTCTCTCCCCTGGGCCGGACACCCATCACTACGAAGTTGGGTCTCTCCAGACCGAGGTGAGCGAGATGAATGGCCGAATGAGAAAAAAACCCTTTCTGATCTTCCCTCTCACTCAAATTCCTTAGGGTACTTGACATTTTTTGGTTTATTTCTCTGTAGGCAAGGACATGTCAATTCTGCGTGACATTCATTTCTGTGCAGGCACAGGCTTTTCGCACATGCCCGAACCCATTTGTGGACTCACAAACCTCTGAAGACCAGCATTTCTCCAGCTGAAATGCTTGGGAATTTTGTTTCCAAGGAAAATCTTAACTCCTTGTACTTCCCAATTCTGATGTGTTCTTATCCATCATGAGTCCCTCCCGGACCCTTGTCTCACTTCACTGAGTTCAGAGACCTGTTCTTTCTCTTGGGGCAATTCCTCCAGGGACCATGAGTCACTCATGATCCCTTCCTAGTTCCTGCATGTCAGGGACATGGCGCCTCAGCAGTGACAAGAGCCGACTGGCAACGAAGACGCAGCTCTCAGGACCAGCCCTCCTTCGGCTGGGAACAGCACCTTCCCACCGGGTGGGTCACACCCCAAAGCCCCCCCAGCCAGAGTTCACCGGCCATCAGGAGGTTGGGGAAACTCGTACAACTCCAATGCTCTAGCATTGGGGTCTCCCTACTCTCCCCCAAACTGTCATCACCATGAGCACATCGTGGGGGAAAAGGCAACACATTCTTTAGGCCTGAAATTCTCATTTTTACTTTTCCACCGGGACAACCCTCCTTGAACTCGGAGACGGAGTTAAATGAAGCATCAAGATCATTTTTCCTTGAGTTTCTGGCTACTTGCTCCACCTGAAAGCTGTCACCACAGTTGCAAACAGAATTTCAACCTTGCTATGTCACTGGGGCCTCCTGGATCCCAGGTGTCCTCAGAAATGAGAACTTTCAGATTTCATAGCCACTTTAGAGCGGCAATAATTTTTCTCTCCTTAGTACACGTAGCAAACACATAGATCAAACACAAAACATATGAGCCCCCATTACCTCTGACATGAACTTGGATTTATGGACCATTAGAGGTCTTGCACGAGAACCCATCCTTGCAATCTGTAGAGTGCAAAATGGGTGGAGGTAACATAGTCTGCACAGGTGGGTTTTACAAGCTTAATCCTCAAAAGAATTTCTTATAAACAGAGGGAGAAATAAAACCATCTTTCAGGCGGCCAGCCTTTCACTTTCTCATGATACATGCGAAATAAAAATAAAACCTTTGCACAGGAAGAAGCAAGGGACAGCGTATGCTGAACGCGACTTCTCTGACGCTTGGCGGGCTGTGGCTCCTGATCAGCGCTTAAGGAAAAGGAAGCAACACACTATGGGCTGCCTTGTTCTGTCCCGTGTAAACATGTCTATTCAAGGGCGGCTGTCTGCAGAGAAACGTGGCGAGAGTGGAGTTCAAAGGCACAGAAGTCCGTGGGTTCTGAATGTGAGCTCAAGGTAGGGCCACCCTTTGAGGATTTTGATTATTTTTTCAGTTACTATTGGGTTGTTGGAAAAGTCATGACGTATTTTTTCTGATCTTCCAGCAAAACATGCATCACGACTTTTTCGATAACCCAG